ATGTGCTCTGCTTATTTGGTCTTTAACTAACATTCACATTTGAGACAAATATTTATTTTTGTTATTTATTCCTGGGCATAATTTTATCACTGAATTTAAAGGTTCTGGATTTTTTCTCATGAACAAATTTCAACTTATAGATATAAAATTCCTGCTATATCCCAATATCTCGGCACATTGATATTTCCATAACGTCCGCGGCATTCTTTTCATTTTTCCAATGATTGAAATCTATCCCGAGCATATGAGGCACAGTTTTACTGTTTCGCTTTAGTAGTAAATAAAAACACCCATCGCTTCAACTGACAGCGCCTTAGGCGGGACATCTGCCAGCTGTTATTGTCACATGATGGAGTCGGCTATGCGGATCAATCCCATCGACCCGGTGAGGGATACGGGATCGATCGACCTTGTGAGGAAGTGAAGCGGCTGTTGAATGTAATGAACGTTTGCCTCGTGAAAAGCCAGCGACTGCGATCTATTTGTCGTTGACGCGCTCCCATTTTAATAAAGCTCAATTACGAGTGAGTCGTCTTTACGGACGTCGGGCCCGCGAGGCGGTGATTTGCCGCCGTGACTTGCAGTGATTCAATTGTCCGGGAAGTAGCAGATAGGAATGTGTTTGGGTGATTTGTTTCTCATCATCTCACTACACGGCGTCGAAGACGCTCGGGTCGATCCTCCACACGGGATGATTGATGCTTTCATTCCTGAGATGTGAAGAGATATGGACATGTATGTGTGTGTCTGTGTGCACGCGTGTGTGTGTTTGTGGGAGACTGTATTTTATGCATTAGCAGATAATACATCCCCCCGTCCTGTGTAACCTCTGCTGTAATGGTTCTGTAATGAATATCCATAAACCGCAGGCATTTAGACAGAACCGAGTAACCACACACACACACACACACACACACACACAGGTAAATGTGCATATTTATGTGACTGCACTCGCATACAGGTGCGCAAACATGCAGTCATAAACAGGGGTTTGAGTGCGCAATGATACACAGAGCTAAACTTGCAAATTTATACTCCACTATAAACACACACAGACACACACACACACACACACACACACACACACACACACACACACCTCTATCCCTTTTCAGTCATAAAGAAAACAGTGGATTTAGATAACAAACAGGATTAAGCAAAGAGGATGAACAAACCTTCGCTGACGTGTGCTGTGTAGCAGCTAAATCTCAGCTGTCACTCAAACAGAGGATTTCTGAACAAGTCAAACACTTCCACGGCGTTACACGATGTCTGAAAGCGTTAATAAGAAAATAATTGGTTGGCCAATCTTTTGATCAAGGAACTTGAACCGAACACGTGCATTTAGGCTAATAGAAAGTTCTGAACACAGTTTTTGGAAAAACACAGATTTTTATTATTTTTCTTTTTTAACAAGGGGATTCTTTTTTTTTCCTTCATTAAATTTAATAACAAAACATGCGCCCACCCTGAGTTGTTAGCAAGAGAAAAAGCCAATATTTAAGATTTCAGCTGCCCTTATTCAGAACAAAAC